CAGCTTGAGAGTGTGCTTGAGCGATCAGACAGGGGAAGGTCCGTCGGAACTCGTTTACTCCCAGACTTTCCCCGGTGTCTTTTAACTCCGCTTCTGCGGCGGAGCAGCATGGGTTGCCAACGACTGTGGGACACTTTCCAGATGTTGCTGTCTGATTGCTCCCTTTAGATCACATTCACACCTATGTTGGATCTAAAGGCACGTGTGATCACAGCCTGTGTATTTTATTTAGAAAACATTTATGTCATATGCTTAAAGTGGCTTACAAAATAAAAATAGTAAAAACAAAACATTAAAAGATATTAATATATTTGTAATGAACTCGTATTTAGCTGGTTTCAAGAAGGAAAGCCTTTTGGACTGCATTCAATCAACAGTGTTTATGTCACAGTGGAGAGAACTTCTTACTAACCTCCAAGATCAGATCAGCTTTATGCTGTGAATAATGAAGGTTAATATCTTTTTGACATCCTTAGCTTATCTAGTGCAAGATTTTTTTAAACCATAGATTGGAACAGTACTCTTTGACATGCATTTCTATAAACTAAATTTTTATCTATGATTCATGAATAAACCTATCTGAGGAATAATCATAGACTGTTTTAGGAAAGCTTCAGGTGTGGGTATAATATTGCAAACAATGTGGAAATAGTTACAAAAAAAGAATAAGAGTATCCAGGGATTTTTGTGAGCTGACAGCCAAAATTTTGCAACCTGGAGATCTCAATTGTTCAAGCAGAATACATTTGGTGAGTAATCGTTCTGAATGAGAACTGTGGAATATGATGGGAAAGTTTCCTGACAGAGTAGGAGGTTGTTTGCAGTTGTAGCCATATCCACAATCTGTGTGTCTCTGGGAACAGGTTCGGTGGGATGTGGAAGACTGGGCCAGGCTGGCATCAGCTTGTCTCCTAAAACAAAGGTTTCTAGCTATTTTTCTAGTTACACTTGTCTAAAGATCTGGTAAGTTAAGAGCAGTGCTGGATGGCTGGATCTGGATGGCTAGACTTAGAGACTGTGCTTCCTGACTTGGCATCCCTGTGATCTGAGTCAGGAGCTAGAACTTGAACTGGAGCGAGCAAAGTACACTGCTCAACCAAGCAAAGACAGAAGGCAAGACTTCCAGAATTTACACAGAGCTTGGCTAATCCAGAGGTTTAATGCTGCCTGCCAATCACAGAGGCTGCTGTTGTTGCACACTGCTGTCAACTTTTGCACATAAAGAAGACTGAAGCATGTAGTCCCACAGTCTGCAGTCGTTCAATAGTTCCCTATCCTAAACACTGAGTTTCAAATCCTAAAGTCCTTGAGAGGATCTAAACAATGAAAGAATGGAAGCTAAAGACAATTTGTACTGAATATTAAACTGCTAAATAGGCTGAGAATGATCATATGAAGCTGCTCTTTACCAAATCAAACCATTAGTCCATCCAGCTCAGTAGCTGGGAGCACCAGGGTAGAGTTGCATGCAGAGAACAAGCTTTCCTGACACCTGCATTCAAAGAGGAGATACCAGGGTCCTGAGTACAAGTGAGCTGCCCAATTCCTGCCTTCCCTTCTTGGGAAACTTCATGGGGTTGGTGTTGAACCAGTGGCCTCAGGACACCTTAAAAATCTGCCACACTCCTTCACTAGCTGAGTTATCAAAGGGCACACAGATGATGTAGGATGGTGCTTCCTCTATTATTTTAATAATGCATATGCATCAGTAGATTTTTTCTGAACTATTTCTGATTTGCCACTTACCCTTGCAGACTACACATTGAATTGCCCCGTATCCTGCCTGTGCTAACCAGTGCAACTGGTCAGTGCAGTTAATCAGTCTGGGGAGTGGCAATATAGATGTACTGGCATGACATTGGGTCCTCCTGAGCTATATTTCACCAATTCCAAAGGCACAAAAACTTGCTTAGAGAAGAAGAATGGGAAAAGCATTGGCAAAGGTAGCTCCAGGTGACAACTGAGAGAGAAAGTAATGAGCCAAATGAACAATTTCCTACCTAGCAAACAAATTCCTCTTAAGATTTCTTCTCCTGATTTGTGGATTTTTTGGACCTTGAACTGCCTATGCCTGTCCTTTAAAGACTATTTCCGGTGATGATCGTCATTACTAGGATGTTGTAGGTGAGGTAATGGCAAATTGTGTCTTCCATGTGCCAAAAATAACTGGGTGACATCACCCCTTTCTCCTACTGTGAAGCGTTCTGGGAGGCTTCAGTACATCTCAAGTGCATTAATTTGTTTGGACGATCGTCCTGGAAAGAAGCCAGCTCCAAGTAATTAACGGTTCCTTACAGTCGTGCAAAAGCGCATTGCTAGGCCATAGGGCTTATGATTTGATTGCCGTACGTCATTTCAGTGAGGTACCTTATGTAAGTCTTGGAATCCATAGAGACAGATACGGTGAGCTGATTGGCCTGTAGCTGTGGGGGGTGGGAGGGTTGTTGGAAAAGCCAGATCCTGTGTAATGGGTAGAATTAAAAGAGTTTGGAAGTCATTATACCAGGAGTGGCAAATATAAGGCCTGGGCGGGCAGAACTGGCCCATCCAGTGCTCTTATGTGGCTCATATGCTAAGTAAGTGATAAATAATGCATGTTTTGTTTTTAGAGCAGTAAAATTAGTATAGGTTTGACAGGACTGTAAAGATTGCATAAATTTCAGTTTCCCCCCAAATTCCCATTTTCTTCTTGGGGAAAAAACAGAAAAAAATATTCTTTTTTGTGGCTTCAAAAGTTCTGGAAATGTTGCATCCTTTACATATTGTTGCCCCATAATAGCATGGCCCTATGTATGCTGAAATTCTGAGGAAGTGCAGCTTCCTAAAAACCCCATGTTTCATTGAATTCTTAAACAAATAGATCTTTTCTAGTCCTTTCTTTTCTGTTGTTTGCAGCCATTTAAATTTTCTCTTATATGGAAGAGGCTGACGTCTGTGAAACACATTCCTGATCATCAGTCGCAGGGGTGGTGGGAGTGTCTTTAGAAACGACTGTGAAAAGACAAATGCAGCTGCAACAGCAAAGTTTTCTGTTGAGTTGTACTTGCCTCTCTGTGTCCTGGAGGCTTAGTGGGCAGTACTACTAAACAAGTTGGGCTTTCTCCAAAGGTCACCACTATCTACAAATCACAGCTTAAGAAGCCAAGTATGAACCATGGTTTAGAATCCCAGTTCAGCACCCATCAACAGTTTTTGGGGCAGTCTGCATTCAGGCATGCGAAACTGGAGTTAATCACACCAGGGTTTATAAACTGGTTTAATGTGGCATCTGAATTTGGTCAGAGCGATCACTAGACAAAACTTCCCCTGGCAGTGGTTTCTGTGACTAGAAGAATGAATAATGCAAAATGTAAAACTTGCAAAAAATTGGTGCAATACACATAACATATACAGACTACAGAATACAGCTTTTCTTTGTATAGAGATTTCAGTTTTGGCAGAGGACACATATCCCAGGCCACAGGGAACAAAGACAGGATGCCTAATAATTATATATTCAAATATTTCAGAGGCATGTACAAGAAGGTTTATTTTAGTAACTGTGGCTAGAAAGAAGAAGAGTTGGTTTTCATACCCCACTTTTCTCTGAGGAGTCTCAAAGAGTCTTACAGTCACCTTCCCTTCATCTCCCCTCAACAGGCACCTTGTGAAGTAAGTGGGGATGAGCAAGTTCTGTAACTGGCCTAAGGTCACCCACCAGGCTTCATGTGGAGAAGTGGGGTCTGCCACTCTTAACTACTACAACACACTGGCTAATAGCTGTTGATACCTCTTTGAGTTTACTATGTACTTTGAACTTGTTACCTTAACTGTAGCTCAAGTAGCACACTGGAATAAAAAAGATACCTGTATGGGTAGACTAGGAACCCAAAAACGGCAGTGAAAAGAAAGTAACTTTGTTGGAGAAACTGAACAACGTTTGAGTCCAGTGGCACCATTAAGACCAACAAAGTTTAATTCTGGGTATAAACTTTCATGTGCATGCACACTTCCTCAGATACATTGAAACATATTTTCTCAAGTGTTACATATAAGTAGGAAGGGTTAGTTGCTAGGAAGGGCTAATTAGAGTCAAGATACATAAGTAACTGAGCAATAAGTATAGCTAAGATTGGATTAAAGCAGTTGGTAAGCATATTAGCATACAGATAATAAAAAAAATTAACAAATTGATGTAAGAACTAAGTTTGAGTCCAGTGGCACTTTTAAGACCAACAAAGTTTAATTCTGGGTTTAAGGGAGAACTGAATGACTTAGTATGGGTAGTGAGATAAGAACCTGAGGGGTTTAATGACATATAAAGGTAAAGGTTCCCTTGCTCGAAAGCCAGTCGAGTCCAACTCTAGGGTTGCGGTGCTCATCTCCATTTCAAAGCCAAAGAGCCAGCGCTGTTCAAAGACGTTCCCGTGGTCATGTGGCCGGCATGACTAAACACCAAGGCGCACGGAACGCTGTTACCTTCCCACTGAAGTGGTACCTATTTATCTACTTGCAATTTCTTGCTTTCGAACTGCTAGGTTGGCAGGAGCTGGAACTAGAGACAAGAGCTCACTCCGTCATGTGGCACCTGGGTCTCGAACTGCTGAACTACCGACCTTCCACAGCCTGCAGTTCAGCGTCTTAACCACTTGAGCCACCGCAGCTCCAATGACATATACAGTGGTAGAAAATGAGCAAGGGAATGTGCCTGAGATGGTGTATAGTTGATGTTGTTAGGTTCGGTGACTGTGTTGTCTGGGTGTATGTGGCAGCGAAGTTGGCATCTGGGTGTATTGCAAGCTCTGGTACCAGTGTCTATGTTCAAATTAGATGTTGGAGAAAGTTAGCTACTAAAAATATGGCATTTCATACAATTTAGTCATGGTGAATATCCGTGCAGAATTGGGGGAGTATGAAGATTCCATAAATCTCAGTTCCAGAGCTAAGTTACTATTACATAAATTTTGTTACAGCATGTAAAATGATGTTCTTATTGATACACTTTAGGTTTCTCAAAGAAGATGAATTTGGCTGAAATTTGCGACAATGCTAAAAAAGGAAGGGAATACGCACTTCTTGGAAACTATGACTCTTCCATGGTTTATTACCAGGGTGTCATCCAGCAAATTCAAAGACATTGTCAGTCAATCAGAGACCCTGCACTGAAGAGCAAGTGGCAACAGGTATGATAAAGTGGTACTTGTTCATATCAGGCATGGCAAAATGATTGTATTTATTCTAAACCATGTATGTTACCAACTAGCCAGCAGTGGCTAGCAAGGACCATTGCATAATGTCCTCAAAATGCCCTCAGCCACCTGTCAAATCAGTAAAACCTTTCTTTTATGTTTTTTTATGCTCCTAAAAATTACTTTGCATCCCGGCTAGATTAAATTTGCTTGGTCAGAGTTCTTAAGGAAGGCTTCCCCCACATCACTGGCTCCACTGGTGGACCTTCTGATGGCACTGGTATTTCTGGCCACAGAGTGTTGGACTGGATGGGCCTTTGGCCTGATCCAACATTGGCATCTCTTATGTTCTTATGTTCACACCTCTCAGCATTTTGGCTTAAGATCAGGTGTAGGAAGACCTCTCTTTCCCCCATGCTACAGGTCCAGCTTTACTCCTGGGATAGTGGTAGTATCTGAGTCAAGAACATTTACAAATGGGATAGGGTACAAGAATGGAAGGAGTGTGGGAGAACCCTCCCCTTCAGGAATCCTAGGCCCCAAATCAAAAAGCAGGGCTTCATAGGGAGACTTTAAAAAACACGTAGCCCATATACAGATCCTCCTAAATTGATGTAACATTGAGCTGAGGTTTACAGGTTAGCGGGGTTTCCCCTTTTAAAAAACTGATGTTTTACTTTTAATGGATTTTTTCCCTTTTTTTATATTATGTTTTATTCAGTGTTTGTTTTTTCTGGGTGCCAGGTCATCTTCTGGTGCATTATCCAGAACAACAAGCACAGTTGACTCTTTCCTCCTCCCTCCTCTGTATTCCCTATTCTCCTTCCTTCCTCTGTCTGGCTTCCTGTGTATTGCTGTGATCCCTCCTTTGCCAACATAGTTATTGCCTTTGCTAATCAGAGGCTTAACTTTGTGAGTTTGCTTATTTTAGAAGTGCTGTTTTGCCTGCAGTTCTCTTTTGCTGTCTTGTCTTTTTCTCAGCTGATGTTCAGGAAGCTATGATCTAAAAAGATGAGCCCAATTCACCACAAGTATTGTGTTCATGTGTATGCATTATACGTTGTGGGCAAAATGATGGTGGAAAGTGCCGTCAAGTCATAGCTGACCTATGGCGACCCTGTAGGGCTTTCAAGGCAAGACGTTCAGAGGTGGTTTGCTATTTTCTGCCTCTGTTTCACAACCCTGGTATTCCCTGGAGGCCTCCCATCCAAATACTGATTTGGTGTAGTGGTTAAGTGCGCGGACTCTAATCTGGGAGAACTGGGTTTGATTCCCCACTCCTCCACTTGCACCTGCTGATGTGACCTTGGGTCAGTCACAAGCTCTGGCTGGCACAGCTGTCCTTGAAAAAGAGCAGTTTGTGTCAGAGTTCTCTCAGCCCCACCCACCTCACAGGGTGTCTGTTGTGGGGAGGGGAAGGGAAAGGAGTTTGTAAGCCGCCCTGAGACTCCAAGTGAAGGGCAGGGGGTATAAATTCAATCTCTTCTTCTTCTTCTTCATCTGATGAAATCAGGCTAGCCTGGACTATCCAGTCAGGTCTGTGGGAAAAAATATTATGGCATATTTCATGGTAGCTTTGCAAACAGATTTTATCAAGTGGCATGTACCCACTTAGACTTAGCAGAGCAGGACTTCCCGTTTCCTCATTCTGCTGCAGACTACTGTGCCTTGTTCTTAGGGTTCAGCGGACCTTCAGGAACGTGGTAGGGGGCCAAGTGGCGATATCTGGGGATGGGGGTGGAATCTGCAGAAACTGCTGTCCCATCTTCAAAAAGTGGAAATGCCTTTGTGTAGGAACTGTGTGTTGCATACATGCCAATATGTCTTTGATGTCTGTAACACTGCTGCTTTGATGCGTCTTAGTGAGCCAAAGAAGGAGTAATACCACTTGGCTTACACCACTAAAATGCAATAAAGTGAATAAAAATCATAATATTATTAATATGTAAGCCCATAGTGTAATATTCCAGCAGAGAGAGTCAAATAATAGCAACGATAGTAGACGACCAAATTTCATGTTCCAGACACCCTTAACTGCCTTTAAAAAAAATTGTATATATTTTTTATTTCAGTTTACAGATGTACAAACATAAAATACAAACTATTTTCATTTATACTCAAAATCATAGATTTAACTACATTATATAGAACTTGCTTACATTTATTTTTTAATATTTAATATTTCATTTATATTTATTTCCCTTTTCTATCTTTCCCATCTATCTTCATATCTAATAACATTTTCATTATAAGGCATGTGTTACCTAAATCGTTCTTTCTATCATTATCTGTTTGATTTAGTTATACTCTGGATTTTCAGCTATGTAATTAAAACTTTCCATTTTTCTTGAAATTCTGAAGTTGGTCTGTTATGTATGAGAGATGGTACCTTTGCCATTATCGCATATTTATGTTTGTTTGTTCCTCCATTCCTTCAAGTCTGCCTTCCATTTTGCTGCAAATATTACTCTTGCCGCTGTCACCATACCATTTTGCTGCAAATATTACTCTTGCCGTTGTCACCATATCTCTCCTTATAGGTATATAATTGTGAAGCGGGATGGCACTTCCTGAACATTCCACAAACACCTAAATCAGTTGGTTCCATGATGTGTCAGTCAGAAGCTGTCCCTAGCCACTGGCTGCGTTGCCTGAGTCCCGCCTCCAACATTCTAAACAGTTTGCTGTTCCTCTCCCCCCCCATAGCCAGCTGGAACACAGGGGTTGTTTGCATATGTGGCCTGATTGGCCTTTGCCTCTAACATTCTAAGCAGTTTGCTGTTGCTGTTGGGAGTCATTGAATATGTCCTGAGGTAAAATACATATCCCAATCTTCCCTTTAATGGTCACTGGAGTTGCCAATCTCCCTGTGGGGCCTGGAGATCTCCCAGAAATCACTGTGTTCCCCAGCCACAGCACACCATTTCCCCTACATAAAATTTCCCAGCTATTACCACTGATCTCCACATGACCAAGATCAGTTCTCTTGGAGACAAATGGCTGCTTTGGCCAGTGGACTCCATGACATTATACCCTGGCTGAAGTCTCTCCCCACCCCAAACCCTGTCCTCCCCAGGCTCTACCCCTCAAATCTAAAGGTATTTCCCAACCCAGAGTTGGCAACTGTGTAATTGGCTATGGAACCACTTTCCAGACTCTTGGAACCCAGAAAACATGGCATAGGAGGAGGTGCTTTTCTACCTTATCTGCCACTGCAAAGCCCAAATTAACATAAGCCAACCTCCAGGCGGCACCTGGAGATCTCCAGTTATTAAAACTGATGTCCATATGACCAAGATCAGTTCTCCTGGAGACAATGACTACTTTGGGCAGTGGACTCTATGGCATTATACCCTGCTGAGGTCCCTCTGCACCCCAAATCCTTCCCTCCCCAGGCTCTACCCCTCAAATCTACAGGTATTTCCCAACCCAGAGTTGGCAACTGTGTAATTGGCTATGGAACCACTTTCCGGACCCTTGGAACCCAGAAGATATGGCATAGGAGGAGGTGGTTTTCTACCTTAGCTGCATAACCCCAAATCAACATAAGTCAGGGGTGGAGGGAACCATACCGGTTACCATTAGGCTGTCCTCTCATACTACCCATGGGGCAGCAAAATGACTTGAGACAGCCCTGCCTTATAGCTAACCAGAAGGAAATAAATACGGCTTGCCTCCCTCTATTTTCCCCTTCCCATTGCCACTCCACCAGCCACAGCCAGGACACTCACCTGGAGCTTCTTTCTAGAGTGCATTGTATTCCCAAAACAAGCCTTACTCCTAGTACTTAAATAATTCACTATGAATTTTTGCAGTATTGCTTGGAAATATATTTAATAGCAAAATTTTTGGGTACATCACAAACTTTAATTTTAGTATCTTTTGGATTTTTTCATGTATCTCTATCCAATATTTTCTAGCTTTATTACATGTCCACCACATATGATAGAATGTTGCATCTGTATTCTGACATTTCCAGCACTTCTCATTATAACTTTTATTTGCTTTTGCTATACCTTTAGGGGTAATATACCATCTAAATAACATTTTATACCAGTTCTCCCTTAGACATTCAGTAAACTTAATTTCTTTACTCCTAAGATTTTCCCACTGACTCGTGTATATTTTCTCCAAAATTTTGCATCCATTTTGTCATGCAGTTTTTTACTTGCTCCGTTTCTGTGTCATATTGCAATAACATTTTATAAATTTTCCTAATAGATATCTTGAATCTCTGGTGATTAAGAAAGAAAACCACCTTTGAACAGTTAATCAGCCACCTTCTTTAGCTATTTGTTCTTTCACTTTTAATACCGTTCCGTTCGATGATATAATAACCACAGAATGTTTTTTTCCTTCATCTTGAACTGCTTGCCAAGATTTTATTTTTTCTTATTTGATTTTCTTTCTTGTACTACTGTCACAGTAAACATCAACAGGGGATGTCAGTGGTGACATTGGCAGACTTATTCTATTTCTGCATTCCTAATAGGCTGTCTCTCAAAATATGATTACCAACTTGTATTTGAATTGTTTTTAAAGATTTCTTGATCCATAGATAATTGTATATTCCTTTAGTATCGATTATCTCCAATTTAACATTCCTTTGATTTGAATGTATGATCTAGTATGATACCCAAACTAGTGTGGCTACTTGGAGATACAATATTTGGTACAGCTAAACCTCTTTTTTCATCCTGTAATACTTTAAATCTTATTCTTGGCTTCTTTACACTCCATACAAAATAATTTATTGTTCTCTGCCATCTTTTGAGAATCTTGTAATCTATATAATTTGGTAACGTTTGAAACAAAAAAGTCAACGTTGCTAATATATTCATTTTAACTGCAGAAATTCTTCCTAACAATGACATTATCAGCCTTTCCCATTTTTATAGATCTTCACTACTATTTGCCCAAACTTTTTAATAATTATTTTTAGAAAGATTATATTTTTATCCTGTTACATATATTCCCAAGTACTTTACTGTTTTTGTGAGAACACAGTCTGTTATTTGTTCTATTTCTTTTTCTTCTGCTTTAGTTGCTGCTAATCATTGTCTTTGTCTTCTTTTATTCCATTTATATCCAGAATAAGTTCCAAATCTATTTATTTGTTCCATTGTATATTTATGGGAAATATTTGATTTTGTTACTGATATTACGACATCATCCGCATAACTTTAAAAAAATTTATATTCTTTATCTTTTTTATCCCAGAAATTCTCATGTCTTGTCTAACTTTTATAGCCAATATTTCCATTGCCAGGATAAATAATAATGGTGATATTGGATAACCTTGTTGCATTCCTTTTGATATTTCAGTTTTCTCAGAGAGCCGTTTATTAAAATTCTACCGTGTTGTTTTATATAAATACTTCACCTCTACTTTAGAAAATCTGTTCCAAAGTTCATGTTTTGTAGAACTTTCATTAAAAATAACCAAGATACATTATTAAAAGCTTTCTCTGCATCTAGGAACAGAAATGCCTTCCTTTTCTCCTTGAGTATTCAGTTACATTCAATAAATATCTAATATTATTTTTCATATACTTGGAACAAATCCCATTTGATCTTCATGGATTTAATCTGGAATGCATTTTCTTACTTTCTCCGCCATGATCGTTGCCAATCAATCAATCAATCAATCAAACCTTTATTGGTTTGAACCATGATTGTTGTAAAGATTTTATAATCCACATTTCTTAATGAGATTGGTCTATTTGTTGTTGTTGTTCAGTCGCACAGTCGAGTCCGACTCTTGAGTTAAAGTTTGTATATTAAAGTTAATGTTTGCTTCTCACCAAGTGGGTGGTATGCACTTTGTCTCTTGAATTTCATTCATTACTCTTTGCAAAGGTATTGCTAATATTTCTTCAAAGCATTTATAATATGTTGCTTTTAAACTGTCTGGTCCAGGTGCTTTATCCTTCTTGAGGTTTTTTTATAGCATAGTTGATTTCTTGTATTGTAATCACTTTTGGTTCAAAATTCTTCTGTGTTCAAATGTAAATCTTTTAAATGGTACATCTGTTAGGTATTTCTCCATTCCTTCTCCATCTTTTAAGTCTTCTTCGTAGAGATTCAATTTTTTTTTTGCATTTCTTGCTCTGCATAAACTACTTGATTTTCTTTTCTGATCCCAGGTATCCTTCTTATTTCTCTTTCTTTTCTTTGACAGTGTGCTAGATACCTTCCAGATATTTGCGCATTAGAATATCTTTGCTTTAAATATTTTAATTTTTCTGCATTTCTTCTACTACTATAAAATCCAATTGATTCTTTAGTTGTTTTAATTCCTTCAATTTCCTCATTGCCAGTAGTTTTATGGTCTTATTCTAATGTCATCATTTTGTCTATTATTCCCTTTATAGAATTTTGTTTCTCTTTTTTTTCTTTCTTGCAGCTGTTGCCAATAAAGTTCTTCTGATGTAAGCGTTACTGGCCTCCCATACTATTGTAGGAGTAGTTTCAGTTCTATTATTAATCTCTCTTGCATTTTTGTATTACCTCGTCTTGTAATAATAATGTATCATTTAATCTCCATATTCTTTCTTTCTTTCTTTCTTTCTTTCTTTCTTTCTTTCTTTCTTTCTTTCTTTCTTTCTTTCTTTCTTTCTTTCTTTCTTTCTTTCTTTCTTTCTTTC